ATGTATGTATGTATGTATGTATGTACGTATGTACGTATGTATGTATGTATGTATGTATGTATGTATGCATGTATGTAAACGTGAATCTGTGTATGAATGTAGGTGCTGCATCCATGGGTAGTGTATATGCTTTCGCCGTGTGCGCAGGTCTGGAGTGGTTGGGTCTCAAAATGCCCTCCACAAATATTACAGAGCAGAGGGTATGGATAACAGCATATTGAATCCACAGCAGCTGTGGGTATGGGACCCCCAAAACGTAGCTTCCTCCTCCTCCCCCTCCCCGGGAGAAGCATTCGACGTCAGGTAGCGGCCTGGGTTCACAGCGCGTGTCTTAAGAAGGAGTCTTAATGAAGCATTGAGCAAGTGGTGAACGCCTCGCCATGCGGCGTTCGACTCTAATGCACGTTTTTCAACAGTGCGTGACGCTGTATAGCAGCTGGCATGTCCCCCAGCTGGGCGGCACGTGTCTCTGCCGCCCTCCTCTCTGCGCGCTCCTCTCAGCATCACTTCTGTTCTCACAGAGGAACAAGCTGCGTTGTGATTTAGCGATTGTGCAGGAGTGATGATACGTTCCAATTTAGCATTTAGTGCGTCCATGGTGTTCGAAGCGGCGATAAAGTCTCAGAAGGTTCGCCGACAGTAAGTATTATATACACATCTTCGTTTTGCAGTCTGCCCTGCTGTGGCCAACCTTCTTATAAAGCGGAATAATTTAGCTAGTGTTGTCCTTAGCTTAAATGAATAATCTTTTAGCTTATCGCGCTTGACTGCCGTTAAAACAGATCGTAACATATGTAACAGAAGCTCAAAGACAACTGTACATCTAGCTCGCGTTATCAGCCCATGATCTAGCTGCCGTTACGAGTTCGCAAACTAAGGCCAAGTTTTAGCATCAGAGGAAGACGCAGCTAGAGTTGCTTTGATGTCGCGATAAAACGTTCTGATGCGTAGCGCAGAAGTATGCTCGATGGCCGGCTATAAATTCCAGTTGCCTGTACAGGAATCTGCAGATGTAAACCTAACCGATGCTGATGGTTGTGATCCCGTAGCCAATTCACAAAGCGGATTGGAATATAAGGTTAAAATTTTTCATGCTGCAAAGAAGAACATCAGGTTGCAAGCAAGGAAAACGTTGATCCGCATACTCGGTCGTTCATCATCAAAGGTGCCGTAACTCTTTAAAAAAAGTTAAGGACATTTTTTCATAAAGCTGGAATAGCACATGTAAAGCACCTATATTGGGTTACCGGTCTCAGATGATATTTCCGGACACCAGGTGTCGTACTCGCCCACCGCTGTTGGGTTCTCTGTCGCTTCAGCAACGGCTTTATTATTTCAAAAAACCTTCAGACTACATAAAAATGCAGATAATATTTACTCACACTCACATGCTTCGCCGATGCGCAGGCATCGTGTAGTGCCACTTGGGCTCAGTTTGCGAGAAAGCAGTTCGAGAGCTTGAACGCTGATCGGAGCATAAAAAACTAGCAAGTAGATTCTTTTTATTTATTTATACAATTTTCCGCAAAGATTGTCCTATGCATCACCATTTTCCGAGGCTTCTTGCCGGCCTGCTGCTGGGCTTGGGTGCCCATGCCGGTAAGTGTGATACGCTCTGATATTCAGAATAAAAAGACCTATGTTTCGATATGTAGGCGCTCAGATCGCCGCTGATGTTTGCACGGGTGGCTCCAGGTGTCACCAAGGAAAAAATGAAGGAATTTAGCAATGCATGCTGCTGAGTTACGGGCATGAATTGATTTAAAGTTTAATTGATTACAATGTCATGTGCTGGCTGCTGGCACCAGCTTGGGTGATCTTGATAATTTGGAGGAGCTACTGCGCGCCTGCAAATCTATACGATTTCGGGCACGAAGCTGTTAGTTCAAAGCAGATTGAGAAATTGGGAAAATAAATGTTTAATATCATAGACACAGCTGCAGCGCGCTGTTGCACTACCCTCGCGAAAACCTGAGTGCCCGCACCACCGCACAGGAACCCCCTTCACAGTGTTCCTTTACGCCAACATGGACGTTGTTGCGGGACCCGTGCGACTAGCCGTCCTGAGTGACAGCATTCAGCACATCGCACCTGGAAGGTACGTAATGCAGCTCTTGGATGTGGAGACACCTCGCTCACTTTCTGTAACAGTAAGATATGCAACCCTCAATACACAACCTTTAAAATCGACACAAGTCAACACACAATCTAAAAACACACACTCAAGGTGCAACACACACATACCCACACGTAATGCAAGCCCACCTCAGGCATGCACATTACATGCCCTGCAGAACCCCTCCGTAGCTCCTGTGTTGGCTCAGCATGCACGGTAATTAAGTACACGGCGGCAGCGGGGCTCCTGCCCGCGCAAATCCGGGGTCAGCAGGCAGGCCCCTCAGAGCACTGCACGATGGGCTGCACAGCCTGGTGTAGTTGCATGTCCGCTAACAATGTAGTGTGTTGAATATGGGCAGTTACGGCGGCACTCGGATGCTTTGCAGCGGTGACGGGCAGCCAGCAAAGCCACCCATCTGCCTGACTGTCTGTCTGCCTGTTTGTAACATCCACCACCGTCATACGCAGCCAAACTGTCAACGGAAAACGGAAAACCCGTCACAGCGCTCATGTACGGAAGAACGGCCTGAGAGTACGCCGTCCCCTCGTAGTCAACCTAGAGACTGTGTGACTTGGCTGCCCGTCTACCTTCTTGCCTCCCTACCTGCCTGCCTGCCTGCCTGCCTGCCAGGACCGATTCATTGCGTTACACATCCGTACAAGCATGCGTTAGGGTTTCCCGCCTGAAGGTTCTCCCTCAACGCCGCAACTCCTGAGCCTTTTGCTTGCCACTGCCCATCCGAAAGCTCACCTTGCCCCTTAACCCCGCCCTGACTCATGCCTTAAAATATTTCAAAATTACTGCTTGTAGTAGGTGTCCGCGCACCTGATCTCCCCCCGCAACCAGGAATGTCATTTGATCTCACCACCTCTTCTTGCGTCCTCTCACTCCGGTCCCCCACCTAACCATCCTGACTGTCTGCGCCGCAGTCGGCCCATCAGCACCACTACACAGCCCACTGCGAGACAGCTGGCGAATGCTGCGGGCTTCGTAATCCCCGCGAACAAGGTACCTGGAGAAGGCCAGCCACACACGGAGTAGCAGAAGTGCTAGTAGTAGTACTAGTGCTAATGGAGGTAGTAACAGTCGTATTGGTGGTAGTACTAGTAGGTACTACAGCGAGCAGCAGGCCCCAAAGGGAATACCACGGCCATCGGGCCATCGGGCCACAACGGAGCTAAGTAGTGTCATCCGCCATTCCGAAAGCAGCAACGGCAGCTTAGCCAGCAGCAATAACTTCATTTCTTAACCCGTTGCAGTCATATCGGTGGTTCATTCACCCGCTTCCTCCACTCGTCTGAGTTAGATGTAAGGTCAGTCAAGATGGAGGAGAGAGGGGCCTGGCTTGGCTTGGCTTGTCTGGGCAATTTAAACCCTAAAACCCTAAAACCCGATCACCGACCCGCCCACCTCCCCGCATCCCCTTCCTTTTCCATCCCGTCCCTTTCCGCGTGGGCGCCCGTGTCTCCCGCCGCAATCTATCCTGCATACCTCACCGCAATCAGGGGTCCTACATCCTTATGGAGGACCTTGCAAGCAACCCCCAGAAAGTATCCAGCTTGATCGACTTCGTCAAGGGCGGCGGCGCACTAGTGCTGCTGGACGGCTACGACGCCTTCACCAACACCAACACATTTATGCCGCTGCTGGGTGCTATGCTGGATGGTATCGGTATTGGCAGCAGCAGTACCAGCAGTATAAACGTTAATGGTAGCGGTAGCGGTAGCCACGACTCACGGCTTAGTAGTTGCCGGGCTGTGGGCATCAAATCCATGGTGCTTGTACAGCTGCGCTTTACCGGGGGGTACTTCACCGACCTGGCGCCCAAACTTCTGGTGAGCCGATGAGGGGTCTGGTCAGGGCACGGGGCGTGTGGGTGAGGTGTAAATCAGACGGAACGGCTAGATTGCCCTGCTTGGGGAGGCTGCGAGAGTCGAATCACGGGGATGCAGCCGAGGCCTCTCCCAACAACCCATGGCGCTCTCCTCCTCCCCAAAGGCCTCCTCGGCTTTTACGGACACACCCGCACTTGTGTGCGGAACTTGTAACTTGTAACTTGTAACTTGTAACTTGTAACCTAAGCACTCTGCTTCACACCTTAGTGAAACCAAATAAGCCTATTTGTCAGTGTCCGAATCGGCTTCGGCGCCTCCGGCGGTTGAGCGGACCATGTGGTCTGGTTGCGTTGTTTTCTCCTAAGCTCTAACTCTCCACTCGCGCCCAACTTCCACGTGGCGATGCCGCTGGGACCTCGTCCACTTTAGGTAAAGCCAGACCAGGGCGTGTCCGGCATTTCGTGCGCATTCGGCAAGGCGATTTACTCGGCCTTCACCGCAAACCGGACCCAGCTGGCAGTGGCCTGGTACTGGGGGCTGGGCCGCGGAGCCATTTACTGGATCGGATCAGGCTTCCAGGTGCCCCACTTGAAGGGGTACGAGGAGGTGCGTACGTAGTGGTGTAGGGCGTGTCAGGTTAGGCGTTGACGGGTAGCTGGGAGGTATTAAGACGCTATCACTACCAGGTTAGCCCAACCAACCAACCAACCAACCAACCAACCAACCAACCAACCAACCAACTGCCGCCCGCTTTCTGTTTTCACGTGCCTGAACCTCACCCCGAGGCACTAAGGGATGGCCCAATCACTTCATTGCCAAGGGCCCCAGGGCTATTTGCGAACAGGGCCGCTTGCTTGTGGAGGCCTGTAGAGGTTTGTGGCTGTATTTGCTGACCTCGCGTGTTCGTGTGGAAGTGTTGGGCTAGCCGGGCTAGCCATACATCGGCCCTTGTCCCGCAGCGTCCATGCAACCTAGTGGACCCTTGCCTTGTCCATTTGGTGTTTTAATTACCCCATTCCCCACTCACATTAAACCCTAAAACCCTGAGACCTGAGGGCGGGTGAATGAGTATTCTTACCATCTCACCTATCACCTCTTTCCCTGCCTTCCTGCCTGCCTGCCTGCCTCTCTGTTCTCCACCGGGGCTTCTGCCTGCTGACCTTCCACACCACCCTGGCCACGCAGGTATTGGCTGCGGCGTTCCTCGCGGCAGCAGCTGTGAAGGCCAGTCCTGAGGTCCGCTGGCAGCCGTCACTCCCGAACGGGTACGACATCATTCCGCCGCCGTTGCCGCAGCCGCGACCCTCCAATCTACAAACCCCGTCATCACCTCCCCGTCCTCCACCAGCATTACAAGGACCACTACCGCCTCGTCCGCCAACATTGCCGCCGTCGGCTGCGTCAAGGCCGCCGCCACCGCAACGGAAGCCGCCTCTGGCAACAGGAAGCCCGGCACTGCCACCAAGCGGCAAGCCGCCACCGGCTACGGCAACAGGAGAGAAGCCGCCGCCGCATACGGCAAGCTCGTCAACACCACCGAGAGGGGAGCCGCCATTGGCGGCACAAAGCCCTTTGCCGCTAGCTGAGGAGAAGGCGCCGCCGCATCGCTCTCCCCCACGTTTACCCGTATCCCCGATTCAACTGCGGCAACCTCCGACGCCCCGTACCGCGCCCCAATTGGCGCCGCCCACTGCACAATCATTCTTCCCACCGTCCTCCCCTTCACCCCTCCCACCGTCCTTCCCGTCACCCCTCCCACCGCCCTTCCCGTCACCCCTCTCACCGTCCGTCCCTTCACCCCTCCCACCGTCCTTCCCGTCACCCCTCTCACCGTCCTTCCCTTCACCCCTCCCACCGTCACCGTTGCCACTTTCGTCATCGCCACTACTCCCATCACCACCGCCTTATACACCGCCCTTACGCCCCTCACTGCCTCCTCCATTCCCGTCACTTATGCCGCCGCCGCCCCTACCGCAGCGGCCGCCCCTACTGCCGCCGCTGCAGCCTCACCCATCCACGCTGCCTCTATCCGCGCCACGTCCGCCACCTTCATCTCCGCCACCGCCTATACCAGTGGTATTGCCTCCGTCAACATCACCACCAGCTCTCCTCTCGTCGCCCTCACCTCCCACGCTGCCACCAGCGGCTTCCCCAACACCCGTTTCAGTATCTTATCCGCCCTTTCCTATGCTGCGCTCGCCTCCTCCTCCGCTGTCACCGCCTCCACCGCCTCCGCCTCCACCGCCGCCACCGCACCATCCACCTCCTCCTCGGCGTCCGCCAGCTCTCAGCAGGCCTCCACGGCCACCCTTACCGCCGCGGCCTCCAAGGCCGCCATTGTCCCCTCGGAAGCCGCTGCCTCCTGCCTCTCCCGATTTGTCACCCCCGCCCAGCGAGGTTGCCGAACCTCCGCCTGTCGACTTCTTCCCCCCTCCTGCCGATTTCGCCCCACCATCTGAGAAGGAAGTATCCCCATCTCCACCCCTTGCGCCAGCTAGGAGCCTGGCTGCTTAGTGACGTGCATGGATGTGACCAGGCTGCATGCGTCTTCAGGGTGACTTTATGCGTGGTTCGGGCCCTTAGGAAATCATGTATGTCAGGTGGCCTTGCGCTTGAGCTCGAGGGGTCAGCCCCAAAAGCGTTTTCGCATGCGCTACTGTGTGTGCTTCCGATGGGAATGCATTACCTGTTTTGTGCTTTCTTGCCCTTTGCATTGCCTGTCGAGGACAGCAATTAAAGGCCAGCGGGTTCGCATCCTCATCACTTTTTTATGACTGCGCTGATTCAGCCTATGAACTGATTGAGCCTGAAATTCGCATTCCGGTGCATGTGAGTAAGTCCCATAAAGACCAACTCTTGAGCCCTCGGCTCGTATTAGGGCGGTTTGCAGGATAAAGACCAACAACCGCGTGGTATCCTGCGAACACTGTTGTCTAGAGTGCTCTTGGGGTTGAATCGCGTTGGACGGTTTGAGTTTGGGGCTCGGACTGGAACTTTCTGTGCGTGTGTATGTGTTTTTTTGGGAACGCCGCGCAAGAGGGTTCTTAAACTCCGTAGGGATGAGTACGGAGGATGGGATGTACGGCTGTGGTGTGAATACCTGTATGTGTACGGCAATCCATACGACAGTACGGAATGTATCGCCAATCATCGCCGACGTGGCGATCGGAAAGGTCGGGATGGCGAGCGAAGCGTACCTCGGTGAGGCTGACTACCTAAGCTCGGATACCAACTGAAAAAGGATGGACCCCGTCTTTCAGTTAATAAACCGAAACCCTGATCAAATGCTTACTGACGATTGTCCGATGATTTAAGCTGCCTTTGCATGTTAACGAACAGCCGATTATCAAGCCGGTTATTAAAGTTAATTATTAACAAAACAACTTTCAGGTTAAGTATTATAACTGGGCGGGCGCGACGTGCAATTGGAAGTACGATAACTGCCCAACAACCGACTTAACCCGGCTTGGTCTGCGCGCCTAACGGCCCTGAAAACCTTACAGTATGGAAGAGATAATACGGATCTTTTCCTGAACTTGCAGTGGCTTGTGCACACGCCAAATACGGCTTACGGCTACTTTCCGGCATGGTAACCAGTCGACCACACGTCACAGGCTTATCTAACAAAGTATATGGAAGAATCCAATAATTTCATAAAAGCACAATCTGCGCCTTGCGTTGCAGGAGCCCGCAAAACTTATGCTGGTGTTAACAAGCAGTTAAAGCGGTTAACGGGCCCCTTTGAGAGCTAAACAAATTGACGGCTTCATTATGTTAATAATATCATTTAGCTTTTTATTATAACATATGATCCTGGTTGCAGGCTTGGGCAAAGCCAGTACTATACTGCTCGCAAATCCATTAATGCCGAAAGATCTCCGAGTTACCGCTCTGAGCCTTGAGGTCAAATGATAGGTTTTAGGTTTCCGCAACTATGTATAGTTTGCGTTTAGCCATTGAAAGGAAGTCGGTTTGACCCAGAGTACGTGAACTGCTTGACAAGATGTGCACCCATCTCTGGCCTAAAACATTAAGAATAAAACTAATTCAATGAAATCTTATATCTATTTCAAATCATCATCGTTCCTGTGCCTCGTTTTCGATAACATGGAAAACGTTCTGGGTTCGTAAGAATGTAGCACCTTCAAATATTGATCGTAAGATTTAATTATACTTCTTTTAAATTGTGCTAAGGACATTCCATCAGCGCATGCAGACGATGCGCCCACCTACTGTCGTACATCAGCTAACTCCTGAGCGAACTGTGACCTCGTCTGAGCCCCACAAACGAAGGGGTAGATTGCTCAAGCTAGGTTAATGGATTGGAGTTATCCCAATTAACTTTATGGGCATTTGCATAACTCCAAATGATGCCTGTTTTAACTTGTAACGCCGCGACGGGGAAGGGCAGCACGAGCCTGCACGTACACTACGGAAACGAATTTGCATAGATGAAGTATTTGCTTACTTAGCTATAGCTCCTTGCTAGTGTGGCGTTTCCTGCTCGCTGCTTTGGAGCGGAGGTTCAGGACCATGCGAGCCGGTTCGTTGCTCGCCATCGTAATTTTTGTTGCACTATCACATCAAGCAAACTCAAGTAAGTCCATTTGTTATGCTAAGTTGCAAGGGTAGCAGCTCGGTAGCCTTCGCGGTTTGAAGCCATGGCAGTCATGCAGTAACACCTGCGCCTGCATGTGATACGTAGTCTACGACCAAGGCTCGCAAGAATTTTACCGTAGATAACTAACGTCATGCGCCAACGTGTTCTCCCGAAACCAGCTTCGATGACATACATTTTTCGTACCATCGAAGTAGGTCGAATGAGCGATAGACGGCTCCGGGCCACTTTCCTTGCACTGCAGTTGGCTTCAATGTCTGGCTTTATGACAACCCCAGCGTCGTCGCCAGCGAGAAACGCGCTGAGAGGTTGCGGCAATTGATCTCTTCCGCGTCTGGCTTCCTACCCGGCACCGCAAGCACTCAGCCGAGCCTCTACGACGCCATCGGCTATGTCATTCCGGCCACTCGAGTAAGCCGGTGGAACTTCGGGGAGGTTAGAGCCACAGATTCTCTCACCTCTTTGAGAAAGCCAAATTTTCAGTACCCATTTCCTTGCTCCGGTACAACGCGCCCCGAAGCATGGCTCGTCCGCAGCCCTTTCCAAACCACATACCGGCGGCTAAACTCACCTAGCCGCCGGACGCTGCTATTTTGCTCATCAAAAGAATATTGTGCAAACTTCAGCACTAAGCCATGTCAAATCACGAGACGTATTTTCCGCCCCAAACCTAGGCCCTTAGGTTACGGATATGTCGTTTTCCATGATCATGATACAGGCCGTGAGGAAGAAATGAGGGCGAGAGCGGTACGAAAAGAACTTCACCAGCCAGAGCTAGCTCCATATTTCAGCAACGTGGTAGAATCTTGGAAGGACACATAAGGCTATGTAGGCTTTGCTGAAAATATCGCGTAGATATTGTTGAGAGAGAGTGTGTGACGCCAGCGCTGTAGTCCAAAAGAAACTAGAGCGCTAGCGTCACACACACCCTCTCATCCATTTCAAAAGGCAGCTAGGTGGTGGGCGGCTTGGTGGCGTGCGTGCGTTGGCGGGGGCGAAAGGGGGGCAACGGCCCCTCACATTGTGCGGGAAAAACAAAACATGTGTGGAGGACAGGAAGTACCTAGAAGTTTTACCACACTGCACATCCTCCATTGGGTGGTAGCGAGCGGACAGTGCTTATTCCAGCGACTTCCGGCCCTCACGGCTCCCCGGGACCGTGAAGCATGATCTACGAATAACTCTTGCAGACACGGGACTGCTTTTGGCCAGCATTGCCTATCGTTTTATTTTACTTCCGCTAGGCGCTTGATTATTGCTGCTGTCCGGTGCTGATCCCAATACTGTTGTGAGAATGGTTGTGCCATGCCCTGCAGCTTTCCGGCCGCGCCTTTGCCTGTTTCATGAACCTGCAATTCTTTGTACAGCCTGCCGACCGCCGCCTGTTGACTCTGTGCTTGACTTGTGAATTCGCATAAAGCTATACATATTTCGCCACATTGGGGCAGTCGCGGTTTACCTCCATTGGGCCCCGTACGCTGTACAGGGATCGTACTACGATGCGGAGCGCCTTGCGTCGGATAGATTAAAGCTACGTGCGCTGTCGGACTTTGTGCGCAGCGGTAGTGCCTTGGTATTACTGGATGGCTTCAAAAGCGATGCGGCGACTAACACCTTCCTGCCGCTGCTGTCGGCACTCCTGGGCCGCGACCCGCGGTGCATGGCGACGAGTGTTGGGAAGAGCATGCATCTGCGTAAGCGCACAGCCGCCCAGGCCTTCGCCAACTTGAGTGACACTGCTGAGGTACGCGGGGTACGGGATAATGAGAGCGCTAAGCAACAAATGACCCCACGGGGGAGCCGAGCTGATCACCGGTACTAGTAGTTCTGGGCACCGCCCTGCACCCCTACAAACAGCGGTATGTAAGTTAGCCGTGTATGTAGGCGGCGTGAGAGGTACCCACGCATGTGAGCACCGCACCACGGCCCGGACCGTCCTAAACAACTACGAGTCATTTCCCTGCACAGCATGGCCGGGGGGATATGCGATTCGTGGAGGGAGAGTTGACTATGTCCCTGTGTAGACATCTACCAGCAGGAAGAACCACCCGCAGCGCCTCGGAGGCTACCCACGGCTCTTGAAGGCCTTGGCTAGGCTGAGGGCCTTGTGAGATGCCTCGAGCAAAGCGCAGCCGTTAGTTATGGATCATGTGTTGTATGTTCTAGGCGGCATGTCGCTTGCGCCGGGCTTACGAGGGGGGTACGATTAGGAGTTCTGAACTTTCTCCTTTGCCTGGGGCCCTGCCATGCAGTAAGGGGGAGGGAATACCACTTTTCCTTTGCTCCCTTTCCTTGAGCCCAGTAAAACCCCACTGGCGCGGACTGGAAGGTTAAGCAAGCAAAGCGAAGCAAGGCACAGCAAAGGATTTAGATGCAAGGAGTTGATGTTTTATATGGAACTGCCAGAATCGCTAGCTAGAGATACGGAAAGCCAGGGGAAGGGTTAAGAAAGCCGAAAGGGAAGAGCAGGTTAGAAGTCCTACCACCCAAAACCATCCCCCTATGCTCGAACTAAGAACCGGAAGCACGCGCCCGAGGGAGTGCGCCAAAATAGTTTCTTAAATGGGACCAATACTCTTCCTTGACCTCTTTGCTTCGTCCCGTACACTTCTTATCCGTACCCTTTGCGGATGAACCATTCCATGCACTTGCCTCGTCCGACATACATCCAATTGCAGCCAATGTGGCACATATACCCAAAACCTAATGTCCCCAATACACTGGCGTTGCTTAATCAGGTCAAGCCCATGCAAGGCTTCTCCTTTCTGTCTTGCCAGACCGGCCAGGCGATTTACTCAACCTACGTAAACCAGGTGCGTCAACATTATCAGTGGAAACGACTTGTGTATGTATGTATGTATGTTGTTACAGGGTGGTATGGGTTCACCAGCGGCCCCCTTTCCCGAGGCAGTTCCCTGCTCTCCCCTGCAAGAGGGGTACCCTAATCCGTTCACCCCATCCGACTTCAGAATGTATTCGTTGGGTTCAGCAACTCACCTCCAGCATCCAACCAAATCTGGCGGACCAAAGGCGCCTCAACTTAGTTACGTATTTGAATGTGTTTTACACCTAGAGTTGCGTTGCCCCTCAGCAGGCCTATGGCAGGCGTAAGCGGGACCTTTTTATTACAGCCCCTTTCCTGAAATCCTTCCTTAAATCCAGTCGAGGCGGTCCGTCCCGTCCCCATGTGCCATGTGTTGCCGGAGTGCACTACCAATTGCGAGCGCGAGAGTGCGCTACCCTGGGTTTCCGATACCTGCTTGTGTTGTGCGGTATGCACAAGTATATATTGTATCCCTTCGGATCCAAACTGAGATCGTACAGGTCGTACTTCACTCGATATTGCGTGTACACATAAACTACGGTCCTTCCAGCCTCGCACACGTACACGATGCATATTCGCTGCTTTGCAGGGCCTCATCAGTCACATTGCATGTGACTGACGTATTTGCGAACTTACCTCCCAACCCTCAGGAAGAGTTCGCGGCCTCCATGATGTGGAAGCTGGGCAGCGGCGTTATCTACTGGATAGGCTCGTCATTCTTCAGACCATTCACACCGGGCGTTAACAGCGTAAGTTACAACAACAACAACAATAACCCTTTGGGTTCGGCTTCTGCTCTCTAGGTGGCTTGCGTTGTCTGGTCTGGGTGGGAGTCTTGGCTGCCCTGATCGTATCATGTGCAGTAAGTAATGCATGGAAAGATGGTCCACTGGCTCTGCTCTTCGTGAGTCTGGAGCCCCCTGCTGTAGCAACCTCTCACACACAACGACGGGAACAAAGGCATGGTGTGCAGTCATGGTGTGCAGCACAGCGCATTGCAGCAGGGATGAATATCTTGCACGGTCGGCCCGCTGTTCAACCATTTCGCATCATTATCAACATATCACGTCGACATTGGGGTTCTCGATAGTGGTTCGAACGACTGGATGAGGTTTCCGTAGGTTTAGCACCCAGTTGTGCAAGAGTTTACCGAGGGTCAACCCTAATGGATGCCGGTGCCTAGCCCCGCACCCATCCGTATGCCTAGTGTGTGTGTGTATCTGTGTGTGTATCTGTGTGTGTATCTGTGTGTGTATCTGTGTGTGTATCTGTGTGTGTGTATCTGTGTGTGTGTATCTGTGTGTGTGTATCTGTGTGTGTGTATCTGTGTGTGTGTATCTGTGTGTGTATCTGTGTGTGTGTATCTGTGTGTGTGTATCTGTGTGTGTGTATCTGTGTGTGTATCTGTGTGTGTGTGTGTGTGTTTTACACCTTGAGTTGCTTTACTCCCCGAAAGTGTACACTGTATAGCCTAGCCAGGAAATGCCCTAAGGGATATATACGCCTTATGCCTGGTACGTTGTGCCACGGAATACAATCGCACAGTCCTTAACACGACTCCCTAGCAAGCTGCGTATTTCTCTAAACGGCACCCAAAGCAAATGTCGTACAGGTTTTCCATGCTGCGCGTGTCTTAGCTCCATCGTGCATCCCCACCTGCCATGCCACCATCATAGTCATGGTTAGCGCCGTACAGCCCCCCCCCCGCTTTCCCGTCGTCGCTCGTTCTATTAAAATGGGTTTGGTATTGTATCGGTTGGGATGTACGACAGACGGAAGGGTGAAAATCCATACGACATGGTTGTAGCTCCCCTTAGGGGGTTACGTACATGCGAACATCAATTTGGGGGGAGGGGGCTGCGCTTTGGAGTTTTTTGACTTCTCAACGATTGCGTCTTATCTTTCATTGGTCGTGGAGTGGTGTTGGCGTGTTGGCGTGTTGGCGTGTTGGCGTGTTGGCGTGTGGGTGGGTGGATGGGGGGAGGGGGGCGGACGGCCCCAACAGGCTAGTCCGAGGTACCGCCACGAAGGCTGGAGTGTGCGTGGAGTGCCATCAGTTATGATTGCTATCTGTCAGAAGCTTTTTGTGCTTTGGTGAGTTCATGTTGACCCCTGAACGAGATCCATATGTATTTATACGCAGGTACTGGCTGCCGCGCTGCTGGAGACCGCAAGGCAAATGGCCACCGGCCCAAGCCTCCCGCCCCCGCCGCAGCCGCGGCCTCCTAGGTCGCCGCCACCTCCACTACCACCCCCTCCCCTTCCCCCCCCTCCATCTCCTCCCCCACCCTCCCCGCCTCCCCCGCGTCCACCACCGCCGTCGCCACCGCCGATCTCCCCCCGTCCGCCCTCGCCGCCGCCGCCGTCACCCTTTCCACCATCTCCGCCACCTCCATCACCCCGGCCGCCGTCGCCGCGGTTGCCGCTTCCAAACCCACCGGCGCCGCCGCCTCCCTCGCCTTTACCTCCTTCGCCGCCGCCACCTTTACCGCCGCCGCCATCACCGCCACCTCCAAAGCCACCGCCGCCGCCGCCGCCGCCGTTGGAACCCGTCAGCTCGCCGCCGTCGCCTCCGATGCCTCGGCGCTCCCCTCGGCCCCAGCCGCCGACACCTTGGTCGCCACCTCCCACATTTCCCTCGCCACCATCACCCCCACCGCCATCTCCGTTGCCTCCGTCGCCCCCTCCGCCATCTCCCTTCCCACCTTTCCCTCCGCCACCGTCTCCAAGGCCGCCGTCGCCGCCGCCACCGTCCCCCGCGCCGATCTCCCCTTCGCCCCCGTCTCCATCAAGGCCGCCCCCTCTTCCTCCACCTTCACCTCCGCGGAATCCGCCTCCGTCGCCAAGGCCATCTCCTCGCCCGCCATCACCAAGTCCCAACCCCCCAAGACCTCCTCCACCACTGCCCCCCTCTCCCCGGCCTCTTCTGCCGCCGCCTGTTCAGAGACCTCCATCTCCTTCACCGTCACCGTCGCCTCCATTCTCCACCGCTGCCGCCGCAGCCCCCGTCTCCGCGGCCGCCATCCTTTGCCTCCCCCTCGCCGGCCGCCTCCGCGCTCCCCTTCTCCTTCGGTTCCGCCCATACCGCCGCCGCCTCAGCCGCCATCTCCACCGCTGCCGCCTCAGCCCCCGTCTCCGCGGCCGCCTCCGCCACCGCCCGTGCGCCGACCTCCTCCTTCCCCGTCACCATCGCCCCCTTCTCCGCCTCCTCCATCACCTCTGCCGCCCCCATCTCCCCAAACACCAGACGCCCCGTCACCTCCACCTTCACCACTTCCGCCCTCCCCAAGGAC